TTCGGTCGAGTACTCCAGAATCAATGTAACAACTAGTGTATTACAAGAACAATAAATACACGACTACTTTATTTTGTTACTAGGAACCACTTATTCATGAATATATCTACCGATAGCCATTACCATGAAGATATCATATTCTCACACACACACTCTTCCTTTTTGCTCTCGCTATCTCTCTCAATCTCTCTCGCTCTCGCTCTCTCACTTTCTCTCTCTCTCTCTCTCTCTCTCTCTCTCTCGCTTCTCTATGACTGCGCGTTTGTCTACCCATTCTCACGTTGCATTTTTACTGATTCTAACGAAACAAGGAACCTCTTCTGACAAATATTTCGCTTGATTCCATGCATCGAGATGGATACATGATTCATTACAGCGCATTGATTGCAAACAGCTGCCGACACACCGTAACAAGATAAAACAGCGAGCGCGCTCGCGAGGCCTCTTACAGCCACTGAAGTGTCATTCCAATAGATGACTCACCGCGTCGCATCCTTCCTCTCTTGCCGCTTGGTTGAAAGCATTAAAACTAATACCGGCGCTGCTTTACTATGCGGTAGATAGCGCCTTGCTTCTAATCTCGTGTTAATCATGAATCAATAAAAGGTCAGACAACATTTGCCGGTAGCCTGCTACTACTTTCTGTAATTGTTCATCGCAATCCCAGAGGTTCACCGATATGCAAACACGAGTAAATTTCATTCATGTAGTTATTTTATCCTCCGCTGAATTTTCCTTCCGGCTTACGTACAATCGGCTGGGTCGCAGCTGACGCCCGTTTCATTATATATATATATATATATATGTATATATATATACATATATATATATACATGTATGTGCGTGTGTTTCGAGACTGTTTCGAGAGTTATAGCTTCATACAAAGACCATCGTAAAACCGACAATGACAATTTACGTGGAATGTACCCGTCAGCGTAGTGTCTGGGAAATTCCAGCGACATTCGCTTGTAAGCTGAGTAACCCCGCATGCATGCGTACCTTGCTATGTAATCACCATATCCATGTGAACGACTGAAAAGGTCTGACTAATCCACTGCCACACGCACATATACACACACGCGCGCGCACACACACACACACGCACGCACACACACACACACACACACACACACACACACACACACACACACACACACACACACACACACACACACAC